TAATTTTGAACGTAATTAGACCTCTTCATTATGGGGTTCACCCCACAGTACCCAAAAAACCCCACACTGCTGGAAAATACGTTAATTTTACCCCACAATGTACCTCTCGTAAGAACAGACAGACGGACGGACGGACGACGGACAAAATGTGATCAGAAAAGCTCACTTGATCCTTCGGCTCAGGTGAGCTAATGACATTCTACATAAAATTCAAAGACAAAAACTAGTTTTTTTCCACTAGAGAAATACATTGTGTGCAAATACGTAGTATAGAGTGATATTTGTACAAGAGTTCAGCGGTCTCACATAAGGTAAATTACAGTGTATAAATACAGGTGACTCTCGATGGCTCGAACTCCGATCTCTCGAAGTGAACCTCCGGTCCCTTTTTTTAGTCTATATAAATAAGCAAATTTACTCCTGATCTCTCGAACTTCTATCTCTAGAAGTTCTCTATCTCCTAAACCATGACATGGGTCTCGTTACACGTCATTGTTTTTCACTCTCTATCTCTCGAAGTTTAGATTGACTTACCTGGATATCAGTAAATGCCTGGGGCTGGCATGGAGGTGTTAACTGTGTGTTTACATAGATGACACTAAACCTGTCGGTTGTCATTGTGTTGATATAATGAATTGGTTATAATTGGTAAATTATAAACGAATTGCTTCTCAACTTATTTTGACTTGAACCAAGACGATAATTTTTAGAAAATAATTTGAAAACATATGTGTCAAAAAGTTCTTATAGACTATGAACTTTTAGTTCAGTGTACATAATCCCAGTATGGCAAACAAGGATTGAACATGTTGAATACTGATTACGAGAAATCTGACGAACACTGGTAAAGGACCTGATCAAGCTGCGGAACAGCCAAACCGACAATTGCTATTTAGGTTTCATGTACCCTAATCATGAAATAACAAGAGGCCCATGGGCCACATCGCTCACCTGAGTACTGTAGCTTAGAAAAAGTAGAAATTGGTTTATTATTGAAAAGTTAAAATCCAAAAGTAATCCCATGATCAATCATGGATTTGCTATTCTTCAAAGAATTTTCCCATATATTTCTATGTAAAACTTTGGTCGGCCATTTTGGCCCCGCCCTACCCCCGGGGGTCATGATTTGGACAAATTTGAATCTACACTACCTGAGCATGCTTCCATATAAATATTATGAATTATGGCTTCGTCATTCTTGAGAAGAATATTTTTAAAGAATTTTCCTATATATTTCTATGTAAAACTTTGGTCGGCCATTTTGGCCCCGCCCTACCCCCGGGGGTCATGATTTGAACAAACTTGAATCTTCACTACCTGAGGATGCTTCCATATGAATTTGATGAATTATGGCTCTGTCATTCTTGAGAAGAAGATTTTTAAAGAATTTTCCTATATATTTCTATGTAAAACTTTGGTCGGCCATTTTGGCCCCGCCCTACCCCCGGGGGTCATGATTTGAACAAACTTGAATCTTCACTACCTGAGGATGCTTCCATATGAATTTGATGAATTATGGCTCTGTCATTCTTGAGAAGAAGATTTTAAAAGAATTTTCCTATATATTTCTATGTAAAACTTTGGTCGGCCATTTTGGCCCCGCCCTACCCCCGGGGGTCATGATTTGAACAAACTTGAATCTACACTACCTGAGGATGTTACCCCATAAGTTTCATCTTTCCTGGCACAGTGGTTCTTGAGAAGAAGATTTTTAAAGAATTTTCCAATATATTTCTATGTAATACTTTGGTCGGCCAATTTGGCCGCGCCCTACCCCCGGGGGTCATGATTTGAACAAACTTGAATCTTCACTACCTGAGGATGTTACCCCATAAGTTTCAACTTTCCTGGCACAGTGGTTCTTGAGAAGAAGATTTTTAGAACATGGCACCAAATTTTCATTAATTCCCAATTATCTCCCCTTGAATGAGGGTGTGGCCCTTCATTTGAACAAACTTGAATCCCCTTCACCCAAGGATGCTTTGTGGCAAGTTTGGTTGAAATTGGCCCAGTGGTTCTTGAGAAGAAGTCGAAAATGTGAAGAGTTTACAGACATACGGACAGACAGACTGACAGACAGACGGACGCCGGACAAAATGTGATCAGAAAAGCTTACTTGAGCCTTCGGCTCAGGTGAGCTAAAAAACAAATAAATATTGAACCTTTAGGAAATCAATTTATTTATTCAAAATACGATAATTGTCGTTAATATAAGTAAATTACATGGAAAATACGATTGGAAACAAACTTTGTTTACAAATACTTCCGGTATATACAACATTGATGAACGGAAATGAAATTTCCGGATTTTATTTACTTCCTATCTCTCGAACCCCCCGATCTCTCGAACATTTCTTGCGGTCCCTTGAACTTCAAGAGATCTCGAGTCACCTGTATTTTATAAAATAGGATTGGGCAAAAGGCTCAGTCTATTTTACAAACACACGTTTTTTACTTACATTTTACAACATGAAGGTCTCACAAAGTTGGAGATAGACTGTTTTTAATTGATATATGAAGAGCTAAAGATTCTGATAACTATATAATAGATGTACAAGCACAAATATAGCAAGTTTAGTATGAATTAGACCCTTACCTAAATACCATGGTTCATCACTACAAGTAGACAGGTCTGATATTAACTCACTGGAAAAGGCTTCAACAAAATCTGGTGAAGAATATTTACTGAAATAATAAACATGAAAATATAGGCATTGCACATCTCAGTCAATGTTAATTAACCAAACAAATTATCTCAAATTCTTTTCATTCGAGTTCTATTTAAGCAATATGTAAGGGATATTCTTAAACAATGTTTATTCTACTTTGTTTCCAAACCTCGATGACCATTATGGCAGAAGAGGAATCTAAGCACACTGATCGACCCACCCCACATGGTCAATAGGAATCAACTCCTCCTGAGTTTATGTCCCAAAAAATCTCTGACAACAAGCATATTTATGATTTGATAAATCAGTACATATGTACCTAACTACCTATGTGATTTAATTAAGAAATAAGGTATCATTTTTAAAACATCTATCAGGATATAAATGCAGGTTGGTAACGAGATTAAATTCTATAAAGCCCATAGGGCTTTATGATGAATTTGATCTCGTACCAACCTGTGTTTATGGCCTGATAGATGTTTTAAAAATGATACCTTATTACTTATATTTACATTTGTGACTTATTCATACTTCATATTTGCCTGAGTGTGACTTTTAACGTGTGAAATGCATTATTTTTCAAACCCAACGGCATGTTCGTAATCCACTGAACGCCCGTCGACCCTTTATGACTTCACTGAGAAATTAGGTCGAAAGTTTATCCATACGCAAATCTATTACCTCTTGACCCCGTACCAGTATTTATACAGTTATAGATACGCATTGCTTTCAGTAGTGTTATATAAAGGAAAACATTTGCAAATGTAAATATTTATAAATAACATTCAATAATGATTTGCTTTTAATTTGTTTTGGGTTGCTCTTATTTTCTTATTTTCAGTTATCTTTTAACTAACACTACTTCCAGACTGCTTGTTCTAATACAGACTTTACTGGACCAAGTTTTACTTACAAAGATAAGTATGTGTCTAAAGCCATTACTTCTTCTTTGTGAAGTACCCATACAACAAAAATAGGTGGCCTCCTCTGTAAACAAGCATTAAAGTTAACAAGAATTAATCTTACACCACTGTAACAAATAAAGGTTTATATGTCATAATGCTCACCTTGGTAACTTCCTTAATCAACTTTATAAAATATTGATAAGTAGATAATTATATTGTCTATCTAGTTACTTTTCAAATCCAAGTATATTTAGTCTTGATATCAAGTTTACATATTGCAGTTCTCTAGTTCTTGAATAAGTCAAAAAATTTCTATGTACAGCTTCGTTTACTTCTTATGGTGCCATCCTTGCCCAGCAAGTCAAGATTTGAACAAATTTGCACCTACATATACAATACAGAGGTAAACGTACATACAGATGAACAAGAAAATGAAACAAGAGGTCCATGGGCCTTATAGGTCACCTGAGTATATGTATCATGTATATGTAACAACTTTCCAGCAACTGAACTTGGTCGGTGTTATATAGAGAATAATACATACCCTCTTCCATATCACACCCTGTATAGCCCAGCCCCCAATATCAGCCAGAGGGCCGAAGGCCCTCTGGCTGATATTGGTCGAGGGCTGATACAGGGTGTGATATGGAAAAGGGTATGTACTATTATATTTATTACATACTTAGTAATAACACACAGAACACAGAACACAGAACAAATACACTTTAATAACCATTGACTAAATTAATAATTTTATCACACATTTCTATAGTTACTAATGTAACCTGGTCAATGTTTCATACTGATCACTGATGACATATAGACATTATGGGAGCCAGTGGTAGAGATGAACAATCTGGGGATGGAATCGAAGATTCAGTTGCTTGTTGTTCTGGATATACGTTTTCAGATAAACTTGAATAATTAGTGAGAATTGAGGACATATGTCTCTGCTGATCACTTGAGGCAGTGCTGTAATTATTTATCGAGTTAACATTTTTATGACCGAACAACTGCTGAATCAAGGTTGGGGGAACACCTGCATGAACAAGGGAAGTAATGGCCGTTTTCCTAGCACTATGATTTACTTTTCTTCCTTGAATGCCACCAGCTTCACACATCACCTTAACAATATTTCCAATTGTGTTTTTTCCCATAGGTTGATTAATGAACCAGGCTTTCTCTGGATTTCTTGAAATGCCTATGTAGAATGGTGACTCAGGCTTTTTCATTGCCTCAGGTCTCCTGTTGGCAAACTCTTTGTAAGCTAACACAGGGCATCTGGGATTACCTGCATGATATAAGATACATAGTACTTATATAAAAATTTAGCACAATACATTCTTTTAAACATGAGTTCCAGGATATCTGTGCTTAGCTATGTGTACATTTTTTTCTTTAAAATTAATGTTTACCTCTATCCTCAAACATTTTCGGAGCGAAATTCCTGGTGTCACTCGTTATCCCAGTTCTTGTCTTAGTTGCTCTTTCTGCGTATTCTAAGTACTCTTCTCCCGTTGAAGTAACTTTCATTGTCACATCACCCTACCTCAGGTTGACATGTTCAATCCTACTGCGCATTCCGAAATGCATTGTATTATTTAGATACAACACATTCATCAGAGATTTTGGATCTCCTAAAAATATTTTTAAACATTGGTAATCAGAGATTACAGAGCTCACCTCAACGAATGTTGTCTTTCAGTAAGGCAAAGTCACACAATTAACCCAAAAAAGTGTACATCCAAAAATGTAAAATTTATGCAATTTTATTTTATATTTAGAATAGGCCTATAT